AAGGTATATTAGGTTAGGATAAGTTAGAGTATATTAGATAGGAGTAAATCAGGGTATATTAGGTTGGGATTAAGTTAGGAAATATGATTAGGATAGTTAAGGTTACTTTAGCTTATGATAAGTTAGGGTATATTGGGTTTGGGATAAGTTAGGATACATGTGAGGTGTTTAGGATAAGGTAAGGTATATTAGGTGTATTAGGATAAGTTAGAGTATATTAGATAAAGATAAATAAGGGTATATCAGGTTGGGATAAGTTAGGGTACATATGATTAGGATAAGTTGAAGTAAATTAGGTTAGGATAAGTTAGGATACATATGATTAGGATAAGTTAATAAGGTATATTAGGTTAGGATAAGTTAGAGTTCATTAGATAAGGATAAATTAGGGTATATTAGGTTGGGATTAAGTTAGGATATATATGATTAGGATAAGTTAAGGTAAATTAGGTTAGGATAAGTTAGAGTATATTAGATAGGGGTAAATTAGGGTATATTAGGTAGGATAAGTTAGGATAAATATGATTAGGATAAGGTAAGGTATATTAGGTGTATTAGGATAAGTTCGAGTATATTAGATAAAGATAAATAAGGGTATATCAGGTTGGGATAAGTTAGGATACATATGATTAGGATAGGTTAAGGTATATTAGGTTAGGATAAATTAGAGTATATTAGATAAGGGTAAATTAGGGTATATTAGGTAGGATAAGTTAGGGTATATTAGGTTAGGATAAGCTAGAGTATATTAGATTAGGATAAGTTCAGGTGTATTAGGTTAGGATAAGTTAGAGTACATTAGATTAGGATAAATCAGGGTATATTAGGTAGGATAAGTTAGGATACATATGATTAGGATAACGTAAGGTATATTATGTTAGGATAAATTAGGGTGCATTAGATAAGGATAAGTTACGGTATATTAGGTTAGGATAAGTTAGGACATAATAGGCTGGGATAAGATAGGATACATTATGTTAGTATAAGTTAGAATACATTAAATTAGGATGAGTTAGGATACATAAGGCTAATATAAGTCAGAATTGCAATGAAATGGCAGAGAGGTCGTTAACATATTGGTATTCTGACGCTCAGAGATACAGACAGACACATACACGTACACAAGTTGGAGTTTCTTAATGTTATCTTGAGATCGGAGGGATGTGTAGGGCCATGTACGTGGAGTCTTCATGTACCTACATACATAAATTATTTATTTTTGTTCATACCTTTTCTACGCACACTCATACACACACGCGCGCGGGCGTACATACACACACGCACACACACACACACACACATTACACACACGCACATCTACACAAACACAACTTGCACACAAAACCACCACACACAACTCACACACACAACAACACACACAAGCTCACAGACACACACACACAAAACACACCAAGACGCACACACACATATACACACAACACACACAGACACACACGCACGCACACTTTTTCTGTGTATTACTATTAGATGAGTTATTACTTTGATCCTAATATATGCAAATGTTTATGCATATTATGATAGCATGTGCTGCATTGTGCCCGTGTAAATCAGTATCTGATATGCTATACTTTATGTGTGTCTGTTGTAGTACGTGTGCAGATATAAATCCGAGTTGGTGTGCTGTTTGTGGTAGGGTGTTTGTGCGTATGTGCTAGGTGTGTTGTGCTGTTGTCGTGTGGCGTTTGTTTGTGTGTGCATGGCCCAGGGAAGTGTCAGCGCAGTTTAATCGAAGTCATGCTCTGATATTATATCCTGTGTTCTGTGATGGTGTGTGTGTGTGTGGTGTGTGTGTTGTTGATAGTGATGCAATGTGCCCGTGAGTTACATGGGCTATAACTGTTGTGTCTTGTTGGCGTTGCTTGTGATATTAGTTCAATACATAACGTAGAATCGTCTTACGTCTCGGATTTATGAGGTAACTTAAAAACTATGTACCTTCCGATACTGGATCGTTATGTGTTGTGTTGTCATATAAAATTCATCCTAAGTATTGTGTGATTGTTTATGTGTACATGTCGTCCGTCGAAGGTGTATGTTGTCGTGTGTGAGGATGTGACGCATCGCGGATCTCTGTGCGTGCCAGATGGTGTTTTTGCCCGTACATGCACTCCCGCTCCCGACACGTAGAAAATCGCGCTGTGAGATCCAGGGTATTGCGAGTGCCATCTCTCTCGTTGGCACCTTGACACATCGGTGCCATCGATACGGGTCTCCACGAGGGCGGTGACAAGTGCCGTGTGCCAGGCTAGCATGGGTTGGGGTGGGGAGTGTGAGGGGCTGGAGAGAGGGAAGGGGGAGGGGAGAGGGGGCACTAAATTTATATTTTTCTCTTTCCCTTCTTGGTATATATTTATCTCTTTCTTGTTTTTTCTTTCTTTGGTTATCTTTATCCTCTCTCTCATCTCTCTCTTCTCTCTGATTACCCCCCTCTCTCTCTTTTTTTTTCTCTCTCTCCCTCTCCCCCCCCTCCCACCTTCCCCATCCCTCCCCTTCCCTCTCCCTCCCCCTCCTCCTCCCACCCTCCTCTCCCTCCCTCTCCTCCCTCCCTCTCTCTCTCTCTCTCCCCTTCTCTCTCGTATCTCTCTCTCTCTCTCCCTTTCCCTCTTCCCATCCCCTCCTCCTTCCCTCCTCTCCATCCCACTCCCCCATCCCTCTCCTCCCTCCCTCTCTCCCACCCACCCTCCCCCATCCCTCTCCCCTCCCTCTCTCCCCATCCCTCCCTCCCTCTCTCCCTCTCCCTCTCCCTCCCCTCCCTCCCTCCCCCCTCTCCCACCCACCCATCCTTCCCCTCCCTCCCCTCTCTCTCTCCCTCTCTCTCTCTCCTCCTCCCTCCCCACCCTCCCTCTCTCTCCCTCCCTCTCCCTTCCTCTCCCCCCCCCCTCTCTCTCTCTCGTATCTCTCACCCCCGTTATATTCCGTTCCGTTCTCGTTGCACAGGTCTTCGCCGTTGCATCCGTCGGCTCCCTTGCAATTGCCTGCCTCGAATTCGGTTTTAGCGCCCCGGGGGAAATAGCTGGGCCTGGGGGAGAAGTGGGGGTGGGGGAGGAGGAGGAGGGTTGGAGGGTGTGAGGGGGAGGGAGGGTGTGAGGGGGTGAGGAGGGGAGGGGGATGGGATGGTAGGGGAGGAGGGTTGAGGGGGAGGGAGGAGGGTTGGAGGGTGTGAGGGGTGAGGGAGGGGAGGAGGGATGGAAGGGAGAGGGAGAGGGAGGGATGGAGGGAGGGAAGGGGGAGGGAGGGAGTTGGAGAGGAGGGTTGGTTAGGGGAAGAGGAAAGAGGAGGGGAGGAAGGGAGAGGGAGAAAGGGAGGGGGAAGGAGGATAGAAGGGAGAAGGTCGAGGAGGGAGGGGTTGGGGGATGGGGAGGGAGGAGGGGTTGGTGGGGATTAGTGGGGTGGATGGGGGGGTAAGGTAAAGGAGAGGGAAATTGCCTTTGTTCAGATGCAACAAGGTCGTTTGCGCTTGAACACTGAAGGATTAGATTAGGCCTTTGTTAATCACGATTGGGAAGAGGGGAGGGGAGGGGGAGGGGGTGAGAAGGGGGGAAAATAAGAGAGAGGAGGGGAGGAAGATGAGGAGGGAAGGGGAGAAGGGGGGGAAGGGGTAAAACGTGGGGAGGAGGGAGGGGGATAAGGAGGGGAAAGGGGGGGGAAGAGGAGGAGGGGGAGAAAAGGGGGAGAGGAGATGAAAGAGGAAGAGGGAGGAGAGGGGAGAAAGGAGAGAGAGGAGGAGAGGGGGGAGAGGGGGGAGAGAAGGTGCGAAAGAGGAGAGGGGAAGGGGGATATCCTCAATTCCCCCATCTCCTATCCTTTCTCCTCAACCCTTTACCACCCCCCCCTCCCTCATTCCCCACCTGCCTTCCACCTTCTCTCTTCTTCAAGCCTCCCCTTTCTCCTTCCTCTTCGCCCCTCTCACTTCCCCACTCTCTCTTCTCTCATTTTCTTCTTCTCTCACTTTCCTCCTCTCCTCCTCTTCCACCCCTCTTGCCTCCTTCTCACTCTTCCCCTCACCCTTCTCTCTCCCTCTCTTTCGCTCTCACTCTCTATCTTTCTCTCTCTCCTCCCTCTCTCTCTCTCTCTCTCTCTCTCTCTCTCTCTCTCTCTCTCTCTCTCTCTCTCTCTCTCTCTCCTCTCTCTCTCTCTCTCCTTTCACTCTCTCCCTCTCTTCCTCTCTCTCTCTCTTTCACCTTTCTATCTCTCTTTATCTTTATCTTGCTCTCGCTCTCTCCCTTTCCCTCTCTCTCTCTCTCTCACCTTCACACCTCCTCCATCAGCCGTCTTCTTCCCCCCCTCCCCTCCTCCTTACCCCCTACCTCCTCCTTCTCCCTCCTCCCTCCTCTCCTCCTTTCCTCCATCTCCCTCCCTCCTCCCCCTCCATCTCCTTCCTCCCCTCTTTTCTACTCTCTCCCTCTTCCCCTCCACTCCTTCTCTCTCCTTCCCCTCTTTCTCCTCCCTCCCTCCCTCCCCCTCCCTCCTCTCTTCCTTTCCTCCACCTCCCCTCCTTTCCTCCTCCTCCTCCCCCATCCATCTCCTTCCTCCTCCTCCTCCTTTCCTCCTCCCCTCCTCCCCCCTCCATCTCCCTCCTCCTCCTCTCCCTCCTCCTCCTCCTCCTCCTCACCTTCTCCTATCAATTGCCTGCCTACCGAAGCTACACAATACAATTGCCTGCCCCGAAGCTAGCCTCCCGAAAGCGCTCCCCCTAACAAAGCCTCCCCAGTGAATCCTCAAGAAGCCTCACGAAACCCTCATGAAGCCTCACGAAGCCGAAGCCCAGTGAAGAACTGAAAGCATGAAGCCTCACAGCCCATGAAGCAACTGAATCCTCACGAATCCTCCCGAAGCCTCACGAGCCAACTGAAGCTCACGAAGCCCAGTAAGCCTCCACGAAGCCAAGCCTGAATGCCTCACGAAGCCCAGCCTGAAGCCTCACGAAAAGCCACTGAAGCCTCACGAAGCCCACGAAGCCTGAAGCCAACTGAATCCTCATGAAGCCTCACCCAGCTGAAGCCTCCACGAAGCCCAGTGAAGCCTCACGAGCCAACTGAATCCTCACGAAGCTCCCAGTGAAGCCTCACGAAGCCAACCTGAGCCTCACAGAGCCCAGTGAAGCCTCACGAAGCCAACTGAATCCTCACGAAGGCCCCAGTGAAGCCTCACGAAGAAGAAACTCACGAAGCGCCTCACGAAGCCAACAGTCCTCCGAAGCCCAGTGAAGCCTCAGAACGAAGCCAACGAAGCCTCACGAACAGTGAACCTCACGAAACTGAATCCTCACGAAGCCCAGTGAAGCCTCACGAAGCCAACTGAAGCCTCACTGAAGCCTCAACGAAAGCCTCCCGAAGCCTAGCGAAGCCTCACGAAGCCCGAAGCCTGAAGCCGAAGCTTTCACGAAGCCTCAACGAAGCCTCACAATGAAGCCTCACGGAAGCGCTCGTCCTGACGAAGCCTCCCCCTCACGAAACCTCCCCGAAGCCTCACGAAGCCCCGAAGCCTCCGAAGCCTCCTGAAGCCTCACGAATTCCTCCCGAAACCTCCCGAAGCCTCACGAAGCCTCCTGAAGCCTCACGAAGCCTCCCTGAAGCCTCACGAAACCCTCCCGCAAGCCTCACGAAGCCTCCCGAAGCCTCACGAAGCCTCCTGAAGCCTCACGCCTCACGAAACCTCCCGAGAAAGCCTCACGAAAGCCTCCGAGCCTCCGAAGCCTCGAACGAAGCCCTCCGAAGCCTCACAAGTCCTCACGAAGCCTCCGAAAGCCTCCGAAGCCTCGAAGCCGAAGCCTCACGAAGCCTCCCGAAGCCTCAAGAAGCCTTCCTGAAGCCTCCCGAAAGAGCCTCCCGAAGCCTCCTGAAGCCTCCCGAATCCTTCACGAAGCCTCCTGAAGCCTCCGAAGCCTCCGAAGCCCGAAGCCTGAAGCCTCTAGAAGCCTCCTGA